CCGATCGCATTTTATACAACGTTGGCAAACCATGGTAAAGCGAGTAAGATTATCGAAAAGATGCAAAATGAGATCGCGATGAGTAGTGCGGAAAACATTGGCCGACGTAAAGTGGTAGTGCTTTCGAAACCAATCGGTCCTCATAAGATGGAAGCAGCAATACTAGCGTGTTTTGGCACAAAGGATGGTGTTGGACTTGATAACAATGGCAGCGTATCATCACCACCACAAATGTTGCATTCTGCGCCGTACGACGAAATTCAACATTATCATGATAACGCTTCGTCTGAGGACACGTCATCTCCTCTCGAAACCCCCATACTTGAACGAACTGACCCATTTGATAATGTTTCCTCATACTCGCATTTTCGAACCATACCACTGTTTCGTTCTACCACCATGCCAAATATTCCACCATCAACATCACCACCACCTTTCGCCGAAAAATTTCTAGCCATACCAAATCCACGACAACAAAGTTCACCAGGTTTGTCGACATCCGTGCCCGAGATGAATGGTTTCCCGGTACCTTCTATACCACAAAGAATCGATCCTCGTGGACCACGAATACTCGTGGTTGAAGATAACGCAGTAAACAGGATGATCATATCTAATTTCCTAAAAAAACGCGGAATTTACTTTGAAGAAGCCGAGAATGGAGCAATCGGCGTGGAGAAATATCGGAAAGCCTTGGAAAGAGAAGAAATTGATATTGATCTGAAAAAAGGATTTGATATTATATTTATGGGTAAGTGATTTATCTTGTCAAGTCGAGGTAACTGGTATTATTACCCGTTTCTTAATCCGAATTTGGGAATTGTTTAACAGATATCCAGATGCCAGTGATGAACGGAAATGTAGCAACATCTGAAATTCGTCGGATAGAAAAGGAATACAACGAACGAAAGGGAAAATTAAAAAAGAAAACGATCACCGAAGCGATAAGAGAATTCAAAGTAATTCCCGCCACCACGACATTTTTATTGAACTCGTTGTCTTCCGCAGGATTTCCGTCATCATTATTAAATGGCGAGTCTGTCAACACTGAAGACAATACCACCGATCCTTCGACGTCAACGCAAAATCGATCCTTAATATTTGCACTGACTGGTTTGGCTAGTGATGAGGATAAATATGTTGCATTTGAAAGTGGGGTTGACGGATTCTTGACCAAGCCTGTTAGTCTAAAGACGTTGGATAAAGTGATCAAGAGATGGCATGAGCTTGAAGAATTCGCTACGCAAATTCCCGCTGATACAATATCATCTTCAATGGATACATTAAACAAAGATAGAATAGAGAATGAGCAGGAAACGAAAGATGGTAAAAAAGAAGCACAAGAACAGGAGGAGTTCAGAAAGAAAGGCATAGTAAGTATGTGCAACTGTTAGATAAAGAACTTCAAAAAAAGAAAAAAACGGGCAAAAAAAATTATATATATATATATATACAAATTCTTCTATTTCATCATTGTGTAAAAAATTCTCAACAAAGTGTACCACTCTTTATTATCGTATTGTTCAATATTACATTGTATTTAATTTTAATTAAGATCGTTAATTATGAATATATATTAACTTGTAACCTTCTCTCTTCTCTTGTTGTATAGATATTATTTTTATTTTACTATTTTATATATATATTTAAAAACTTAATTGCATATATATATAGTATATACACAATTGTTTATAATCGACAAAAAAACGAATAGCTAGTGAGGATTATTATCATCTTTTGTAAAGTAGTGATTTAGTGTTTATAGTATAGTGTTTATCTTGTAATTTTTTTTTTTTCTTCGTATTTATGTATAGTATTGCCATCAAAATCGACCTGATTTTAATAGAAACATGCTCAAACGATGATGTCGAATATTAACAATGTGTGATGATTGACTTTCAAAATAATTTTTTATATACACTACCGATAATTAAGTTTTTGGTATATTTAAAAAAAAAATAGTAATCTCTTTCGACTAAAAATACAAGGATAGATGAATAGTTTTCAGAAACGATGATTATTTTTCCAAGAGTGATGATCCACGCCCTCCGCTATCGCCGTTGTAATATCCCATAACAGTATCGTACAAAGTTTGTGTCAATTCCTGAGATGCGCAATCTAATTGTCTCTGTACTTCATTCGCCTCTTCAACCCCCCCTCGTTCTCTAAGACATTTCTCACGTTTTGTCAAAAAATCCACCAGTTTTTCCAAATACTCTACAATATCGCGTCGATCTTGTCGTTTCTTTGCCTCTCGAATTTCTTCCCCCTCTTCACAAT